AATGCCCTGTCTTGATAACAGAACACACATCGCCCTCATGTGGATCTTAGATATAACTACAGATATGGTAAGAGAACAGTGTTTAACATTTTGAAAACTAGAGCTTATTAGCTTGTACGGGGAAGTACATATCTGACCCAATTCTTCCAGAGAGTTCCAATGTAATAGAAAAAATGCTTTACAAATACAATCAAACTGCTTTAGATATTTGATTCAGCTGAACTAAATGGTATATTAAAGATTATACTGAAAACTAGACTAAAGTGTGTTCCAACATTCATATCTTAATTTTGCTCATATCTTAGGTTTTTTTTAAACCAACATTTGTGGTAAATCTTAAAGCTCTGTAATACATTGCATACACTTGAAAAAAAAAAAAAAAAGTCAGTTATTACATCATATTCTCTGAAAATGCAGTAACCCTGCATGGCATTCAGTAGCACCAACCAAATTTATGTTCCCGTGTGGCTCTTTTCTTTCTTTTTTTTTTTTTTTTTTTGTGGAGGCTGAAAGCCTGAGCGCAGACATCATGTAAACCTTAAGTGGTTTCTCCTGGGTTCTGGGTGGTGAAGATCAATTTTTAATTAATTTGGGGTGTTTTATATGGTCACATTTAATGACAAAGAACATACAATATTTAAAGCAAAGCAAAACTTTAGAATGACTTTCCCTTTGATAGGATTTACTTTGCCACTACAAGGTTGACACCATTTCTGTTACGTTGTTGTGAAGTAAAACTTAAAATCATAGATGACTTGCATGTTAATACACTTTTAAAATTCTAAAAGTGTTTGTGTACATCAGCTTGTTTAAGTATGGTAAACATGTTTTGATTAAAACCACTCCAATATAGGTCTGGCATTCAATTAAGGGTCTTAGGTCTGCTGATCCAGGGTAGCATCACCCTGTATTTAGCAGCATCCATCTTCCCAATATATCTTAATAATGTAAAGAAAGTCATTCCCACAGCATGATGCTGCCCACACACTATCTTTCCCAATGGGAATGGTCCATTCATGGGGTTGTGCAATCTTATTTTTTTTCAACACCTTACACCATGCATGCATAGAACACTTAATATTCAATATCCTTCTCCACATGTTTGCTGCAGCCTGTAATCGCCTAAGGAAACTATGTAAAATGTTCCTTCTTTTTCACAGATAGCTCTACTTTGTGTTGTTCAACAACATCAAATCCCAATAAAGTGTGCAGAAGTTTATGAAGTTAACGAATCCTGAAAAAGGCATTTTGCAAGATATTGTTCTTATTTGATGATTAGAAAATCATGAGGGGCAAGTGTATGCCGATTTTTTCACTCTAGACCTTTGTATAGACAGTATGTAGTTTTCTCCCTCCAGTCCTATAGAAGTCATTGCAGATAACAGTTTGAATATCCCTCTTTTAATCTTTAAGAAAATACATAACACCTATAATTTTACTTCAGCATCTTTCTTGTTGCAGGATCATGCATCATTTTGGAGCCTGTGACTTATTGCTGCTGCAGGTGTAATCCTCTTGTTTGGCACAAAAAAATCTTTTCTATATCTTGGAGTTATATTGGTAGATTGGCAGATATTTGAATTTTTGAAGCTAGTATTGGCTGACACTAATAAGATGCTTATAATAATGTGCATCCTTACGAAAAGAAATAATTACAGAGTTTTCATTTTTTATAGACTTTAAATGTATGAAGCCACAGCACTGACTTACATCTCCAAAATCCTTATTTTTTTTTACCTACCCTATCGTGTTTAGTAAAACAGCAGAATTTTTATCACTCCAAACCTGCTGGATGTACTTTGCTTCTCTTCTTTAACTGCATGAGTGAGCGTAATTACTTCTTGCTTCAGGCTATGACACCGAGTTAAAATGAGTGACATGGGCATACAAGTGTCTGTGTACTGAGGTTCCAATCAGTTCAGCTCATTTGCTCGTGACAACCGAGATTCTGAGTTTAGGGATGACACAAATGTGGTGCCGCCTAAACACACAGCCACAATTAAAGCTAAGTTCTCAGAATGGTCCAACCATTCTGCATTGGGGTATTTTTATCTTATTAATAAGAGGAGATAGAGTTTTTTAACGAGTCAGCAGTGAGTTGAATTATCTTGGATTGGCATTTTTGCAGAGTAGGATAACAGGCTGAAAAAGATCCTCAACAAACTGAATTTCAGGATCAGAGTTTTTATTTTTTTTTTCTTCTAGATCCACCAACATTTGGACAGCACCAGGTGACACTGGCAGCAAAAAAGACACGTTGCTGTGGATGTATGAATATGAATAGATGTGACAGTCACGTACGGAACAGTCTCTTGGCTGTTGCTACCCTCCAGAGAATGGAGGATCATTAGTACCTTTCAAGTTTACTCTCATGAGAGTTATCTTAATTTAAAATGCAGCACAAAACTCACCAGTGAGCTTTCCAGTCTCAGTGGAAAAGGTGGGTAACAAAGGAGTGCAATAAAGTGAAGAAAAAAAGTTTCTGAAAGGACAAATCTGAACCACACAAGTCTTGTGCCATTCCTCCATCTTAAGAAGTCCCCTTATCCAATCAGGCGAGCGATTGTTCATCTGGACCAGGATAAAGCAGACTGTGATGGCTGGGTTTCAGCAAAGCTTGCAATGTGAACAGATGGCTTTGATTAATGCGAAGGCTGCAGACAGGCTCTCCTGAGAGGCTTCCACTTTCCTAAATGAGACAATTGTGTGCAATTGTATTGTTTGTTAAGTTGTCACCAGTTTTATCTGCTGTTTGTTTCTAGATGCCATTCTTTGCAATGTCACATTCATGTTTTCCTCAAAAATAAAATCAAGACAATATAAAATGTTATATTTCACACTTGTTTACCTTTTCAACTAAAACAAGATATTTGCATACACAGTTTAAAAAGACTTTTTATTTCTTCACATACTGTCATTTAAATAACCAAATTTTTCCTGTTTTATGTCAGTTAGGATCGCTCTAATTATTTCTGTTTACGAAATAGCAAACTTCTAAGAGAATTTTGCATAACTTTCTTCAAATTTAGCAGCAGCAAAAAAAAAGATTTTATTGGCTCTAAACATCTGAGGAAAGTCCAGGTGATGATGTGGCTTCGAAGGCTTTAGAGTAAGTTAAATCACCCTCTCAATTCTGAAATTCGTTACTGGAAAAAAAAAGATGCCATCATAATTGCCACCATTTTAAAGAAATACTATAGTGGCATCTTATAACAAATACCAGAAAGTGTCATGGGTTATTGTATTATTTTAGGTAGGAGTACCAGAACAAGATGCTATGAAACAAAATGTTATAATAAAACTGAACAAAATTAGAGAGAACCATAAGGAGAGGATGATTTGATACAGGGTGGTGGCAGAGAAGAGACTATCAATGAACAATATGAGCTTAAATACAAAGGAAGGGTTATTAGTGACATAAAAATCAGGTGAGTTTAATCAGGAGGATGCCAAGCAGCTGAGGGAGAGTACTAAGCAAGAGATCCAAGGGGGAACAATGATAAATACAGAACTGAGAGAAATGAACCAAAACCCTAAGGAACTGCAAGCTTCAATCCAAATTCCTCAAACTGCAGCCCCTTTTGTAGCTCCTGATTCTAGCTCCTATCCCTTTACCTTTTGCTGCGTTGACAGTTAAAGCTATATCCAGGGTAGGGAAAAAACCTATGGACTGCTTTGGTTAAAGGTGCAGTAGGAGATCTTTTCTGACGCATTTTTTACCACTTGGCTTAAAGATCTCCCCACTTAGCAAGCACCGAAATAGAAGGCCTGGAAGTGAAACTAAAATAAATGGTCCCTGCTACAGTGAGAAATCTATGAATAACCCCAACCAATCACAAAAGACGGTCCGTTGGACATGATTGGTTCCTGACACATCAATCATGGTTGTCTGCTTGTTAATTTAGGCGTTAATAAACTGTTTCAGAGGAGTGATCATAGCGCTCTGCATCAACAGCGCTGCTCCTGCTGCTCTAGACCCGCTGCGTGGTTTCGGGGCGACAGTGGCGTTGGATGTAGGAGTTTGCCCTGAAATCGAAGGGTTGACGGTTCAAGCCCCGACTCCGACTTTCAGTGTCGTTGTGTCCTTGGGCAAGACACTTCACCTGCATTGTCTACTGATGGTGGTCAGAGGGCCCGGTAGCGCCAGTGTACGGCAGCCCTGCTTCTGTCAGTGAGCCCCAGGGCAGCTGTGGCTACAATGTAGCTTGCCACCATCAGTGTGTGAGTGTGTGTGTGAATGGGTGGATGAATGTAGTGTAAAGTGCTTTGGTCAAGTCTCCTAACTTGAATAAAGGCGCTATATAAGTACATGCCATTTACCATTTCGAGGGGTGGTCTGAAGGGAGAGGTATGGTTTTGTATGTTCAAAATTATAGCTTGCTGGAACCGCTTTTCCAAGATCTCCTACAGCACCTTTAATTTGAACAAGCCTTAGAATCACAGTCGTCATTACACGACAGACATGTATAATAATAATGATAATCGAATTGGCACCACAGCCAGGAAATTACTACAAGGAGACAATGTAACCCAAAAAAAAATATGATGGTGTGTATTATGTGTCATATGGAGTTATGTTCACATCAACAAATACTTTATATATGTTTGTAATAAATGTGTCTAATAAAGAAAAAACATTGATCAAAACATAGGCAGAAATGACAACCGATATCAAAGAGGTTCATGTTTGGACACCATACTGTAGAGTTTTCAAAATGGACCATGGATGTAAGCAGATTTTAAAGTTAGTTACAAAGTGGGTCACACAAATGACTTGGTTTCACTAGATCTGTCAGGATGAAGTGCATAAAAATTCATCAAACAACAGTAGTAGCTATTCAAAATGTCCCTACTTTCCTCGATGGGTCCTTGGCTGGTTCAAATCATAGTTTCTTCTGTATCCCAGATTCAATGAAAACACACAAAATAATCTTAATCAATAATCTTAAAACAAATCCTCACAAATTCACTTTTATTACAGACAATTCTGTTATAGAATGCTACATAATGCACACAGGTTTAAGTGCTGTGGCTTCTTTAAACAACAAACCTAAAATACATAAAGAATACATTTTCCATTAAGAATACAGAATCAATAAAAAAAAAAAGAAATTCTAAATAAAAACAGCACTTTATACTATAAACTACTCCCTTTAAGTCCTAGTGTGCAAAAAAAAAAAAGTATGCAAAGACTTGTTATTGTATTCTCTAACCACCATACATACTATGTTCATAGAGGTATCACTAGGTTATGAAAGACAATGACTAAATAAGTAACCATTATGCTTTTAAAACAATAAAATACAGGAATGCAAAGAAAATGTATGTCACGCCTTCACAAAAACAGTCTCCTAAAACACGATTGCCTTAAAAAAAAACCTTGGCAGAAGCACTTGGCATGTTGTGCATGTTGGAATGGGACCTTTGACTGAACAGGAGTCAATTAACTGTAAGAATACTGCATGTGTTTTGGTTTTTTGTTGTTGCTTTTTCTTTTCTGACAGGCCTTTTTGTTTTCCGTTATTTTTATATCTCCGACCTCATATCATTAAAACACTTAGGCTTTGTATAGGTAGAACTGTACATAAAGATAATATTGCCACTAAAAACAAGTTTAGATTTTTTTCTATCAAGTAAAATTAATGTTACAGTTGTATAATGAGAAATGACTGTACAAATACAATATTTGAGGCAGTTTTGTTAGAGGTACCTTCTCCAGACTAGGTACTGCATGTGTTACCATGCACAAGTATCAACAGTTCTACAACTTTTTTTTCATTATTATTTTCTCACATTAAGTCAAAAACTTTGATGCATTTTACAGATAAACACAATTTTACACCAGAAGAAAAAATAGATAAATAGTTTTCAAGAACCTTTGAATGCTGGTGGCAGGATCATACAGTTGGGGTGATTTTCTTCAGCTAGATCTAGAATATAGATCTTGTTAGGTATTTAAGATTAAGGATTTAAGACAACCTTTGACAACCTTTCCCATTTCTAATCATTGTATGTCATTTTGGGTGATCAAAACATGTTATATGACCAATATATGGGGTCTACATGCTTAAACACTTGAAAGAATTCTCTAAGACGTTGAAGATGCATTTGGACTTCTAGAAATTCCCATATTTAGGTCCTCAGCTTTGATTCAAGCAGTTCTACAAAAGACAGCGTTATTCATACAGTTATACTATTCGAAAACTGGAAGAGTGACAATTAGCTCAGGAGAGAACAGTAAGGACGACAGTCCCTTTTGTCTTTTTCAGAATTTCCACAGCCTCAGCATGAGTCACACCCTCCAGACAGTGTCCATTCACAGCAATAATCTGATCGCCACGTTTCAGCCTGCCGTCCTCAATGGCTGCCCCCTGCAGAGAGAGAAGAGCCCCGCCCCATTAATGTTAGACCAAAAGTCACTGAATGGTTCCTAAATTGCTTTAATTGAAGAGCAGGTATAAAGACAGTATTTCCATGTTCTGCTCTAACATCTCACAAAGTTGGAGCAAAGTAAGGATCTTTGACCATGTCTTTGTGAACAAACTGTGCAACCACAGTCCATGGTCCTCTCTATTGCTCTTCTGTCTTTATTTCACCCCATACCACATGTCTGACTTTTCTGTTTTGATTTGGCCGAATGTTTTTAGATGTGTATCCTTCTAACAGACCTAATGACCACTCATGCTCATTTTTCTTTTAGACTCTACCAGTATTTTATCGAAATGTTCTTCTTACAAAAAAGGTTTAATATTTCATCCAACCAAACCAAGTTCCCGGGACTTTTAATGTGAAGAAGGCCCAAAGCATTACTTAATACTTTTTTAAAACTTTTTTTTAAATCTAACTCATCTGTAAAAGTTGAGGCATATAACTTATAATATTAACCCAACCTATCATTCTCTGTGTCACATTTTTTTTAATAATCATTAAGGATACACAGTAAGGTAGAATATCATGGATTTAATATTAGAAGTACATATGCACTGGGTTTACCCTCAAAAAGGTAAATGGTGAATTACAGAAATTCTTCTGCTAGATTCATTTTATATAAATCACTGGGGACACCAACAAAAAAGTAGTAATTTTTTTTATTTTTTTATTTAAGTAATCTTTTGTTATGTTAGACATCAGCAAGACAATCTGAGGCTGTTCGGAGAGAAAGATCTTAACTTGGCGTGGAAAACAGAATTCATCCCATGTGAATGAATTAAACAGGAACCTACATACAGAACCTGGCACAGAAAACAAATAAATAATTGGGTGAACCAGCAGGAAACAATAATACTAATTAGGTAATTGAGCCATAATTAAAACTCAACAAAGATACTTAGAACAATCACACAAATGAATCAAAAAGTAACCAGAGAAAATCAAGTGAATTGAAAACCATATTATTATAGTAAAACCAACAAATATTATTGTTTACTGGTTGCCTGATCCTGACCTGTTCTGCCTTTGGACCACTGAGCCTACCTGTTCCCATTCTGATCTGTTAGCCTGACCTGTCTTCGAACTCCTGCTGGATTCTGCCTGTTAACCGAACCTGGAACTGATTCCCGACACCATCCTGAATTTCCTTTCTTTTCCTCTTTGGATCTCTGATCTTCTGGCCCGGACTCCTTTAAACCTCTTTGGCACCGGCTTTGACTTCGCCCTCTGGATTGTCCTGCTTTCCTTTGTCTGCTTGAATCTCCTGCCTATTGTTCAGTCTTTGGGTGTTAGTTTTCAAATAATGTAACACACATGTAATTTGGCCAGTTCCTAAGTTATTTGCTTTTCCATTTGGGTATGCAAAATATCACTTCAGGATCACTTCAAATTAGGTGGGCTTTAAAAGATTAACGTTTGGGACACTCTCCGTGGTGCCCACCGCGTCTTGTTGGCAGCCGACCAGCTGGTACCAACCTCGTCCTCTGGGCATAGACTAAACTTTAAGAACAGGATAGTGACTCATGTTCATAATCTGCCTCCGCTAGATTGACGTGGTCACTAACCTGTGTTTTCTTCCCGCAGAGGTTCCTGCCTTAGACGCCCTAGGTGTTCACAGCAAATCTGTTGTATTTAAAAAAACGCTTTTGAGATATCATTCTGGGTTCTCTGTTCTGAACTCTGACAAGTACTCACTTACAAATAGGGATGCTACAGTACCACAGTAATGGCAGTTGTCTTTGAGGATCTTGATAAAGGTTACGCAAAGGTTTATAAGCTTTTACATTTTTTAATATAAGCATGACTTTGAAGAAGACTAATGAGACTTACAGAATCAGAAATTAATTTAATTAAATACTACCTACATTTGTGCTATAAATACATTTTGCTTGTGAGATAAAGGAAGAATACAGAGTGATCCATCGAGGCAAATGGTGATACACCATGACGACAGGTACTACATATTGGCAAAAGTAAACGATATAAAGTTTAAATGTACTCTATCACCAGATGTGTTTGCTCACCTTGCAGAAAATAGTTTTGACGTAGATCGGCAGGTCTCCATGAGGGCTGCCAAATCCCCCCACAATGCTGAAGCCCAGGCCTGACAACCCTCTCTCCAGTGTAATGGTCTTATAAACTCGTGGACTGTAGGGATCAGAGAAGTAGCTTGATTGTGTTCGGTTAGACCCAAATTGCATTAACAGTATATTTCATTGGTTTCAGTTATTATACTCAGTTAGAAATAAGAAAACACTGGTGGAAATGTGCTAATAAGAACTCTTACCAGAAGTTATTATGAGAGCAGCTACTTGTCTGATCTGATGTGCTGATATGACCCTCACATTGATCATGTGGAATGACCCCTTCGAAACCGTCAGTTACCTAAACACAAAAATGATTCTCATTAAAAAGCCTGAAAAATGCATTTCCAACCCGTGAACTTCACCGTGTGTCATGGTTTTACAAAACCAAAACTAAATTTTTTTTTTTGATTTTCTGTGACACCAACACAAAATGATTTCCATATTTAAAGTATTTCTTTTAAGTAAAAAAGGAAATCTAAAAGAATCCAATGCAATGAGCTGCTGTCCAAGGTCACCTATATAGGAAAAAGAGTCCATTTGTGAATAAGGTAAACTCAGAAAGAACCTGTGATGCTCTGTGATGGTGTCAGGTTTATTAGAGCAGGCATCCCCAACCTCGGTCCTCGAGGCTCGCTGTCCTGCAGGTTTTAGAGGTTTCCCTGCTTTAGCACAGCTGATTATAATGATTGCAGTAGACCAAAAGCCTGTTAATCAGCTTTCAATTAAAATCAGCTGTGCTGGAGCAAGGAAACCTCTAAAACCTGTAGGACAGCGGGCCTCTAGGACCGAGGTTGGGGATGCCTGGTTTAGAGGTCATCCATCCACACACTTTATTCTGAGGACTGATCAGGACAGCAGAACGCTTGGGAAGGAGGTTTTGAAGATGTTTAAAAAAGGATGGATTAGAACTAATAACCAAAGTGTTGAAAATTGTAACAGAGCCAAGGAATAGTGGTCAACCAAAACTGACTTTGGAAAGAAGAGGATTTATACGGATAAGTTCAATAAGGAAGTTCATGGTAACTTTAAAGGAATGTGCTGGTGAAGATTCTCAGTCATCCAGGTCATAGTCATTCCAAAGAAGTAAAAAAAAAAATCCACAGGACTTGGTTTCCAAATTTAAAGACGTTATGCTAACTAACAAGGCTTAGTTTTTGGTCCACTCTATAAAGCCTCCAACTCGACGCTATTTCTGACATTTTGAATTGAAAAAGCTTCTTGGATGGGAAGCCAAACGTATTTAAAATTAGAAACAAAGTCCAGTTGTTTGGGTTTTTTTTTTTTTTTTTTTTCGTTTTTTTACTTTTTTGGAACTTTAGAGGAACTGCAAAGATTCACAGCTCAGGTAAATAGACTAAATTTTTATAGCACTTTTCTATTCACATTGACTTCTCAAAGCAATTTACAATAAAGCCACATTTCCCCACTGGAACATACTGAAATGCACACATTCATTCACCTTTATACAGATCAGTAGTACCTTACCCAAGGGCATATAAACATATGACAAAGTGAAGCTGGAATTTAACCCCAAACCTTTTAAATGCAGTAGAGCTACTAAACCCATTGAGATGCAGGTGAAAGAATCTGTTAAGCGGACAGTTAGTTGTGTATTCTGCCTATCAGCACTGTATGAAAGATTTGCAAAAACAAACCCATTGGTTAAAGAAAATCCTGTTGTACTTCCCAATGAACCATGTATAGAATTTAGCAAATGTGGAAAAAGGTGCTCTTCCGTTGAACTATTATGCTGAAATATGTACAGTATGCCTGTCACATAAAAAATAACTCAATTAATCGCCATGATAAAACTAATTACATGACAAGTTTAAATGAGCTCCATAATTTTACGTTTGCATGCTCCAATGTTTTCCTTACATCTTACTCGCTTTGTAGTCTTAATAATCTGAATAATAAAAGATTTTACATTGGTGCATCGCCCTCCATTCACCCCTCCCACTGCAGTTTCCTTAGCATAGTTGGTTTAGCATTTAGAAAAATAGAAAAGCAGAGATGGAATTTGGTTGGAAAGCCAAATGTAACAGCTGCAGTATGGGAGCACAGAAATAAGTTCAGATGATTCAGCCAGTCAGTTAATGGGAAGATGGATTGAGCTTAATATGGGGCAAAAATAAATACAGGACAATCCCCTGGAGGAGGTTAACCTTCTGGCTGGACAATAACAAGAAACATGCTGCCAGGGAATCAAACATATTGTTTAGATCAGTTGTTCTCAACATGTGGCTTCAAAATGAAAAATGGGGGCTGTGTATTTTTTTATGGACACCTGAATAAAATTCTTGTAAACTTACCTTCAGTAACTTGAAGAACAACATAATGGTTGAGAGCAGAACCACTGGCTTAGTTGAAAGAATTTCCATGTTCTACAGCGCTTTTTACTGGTACAAGAATTTATCCCAAACCATTCTAGAATCTGCTGCTCATAGATGCTGTCTGCTAAATGTTAATCATATAATTGACAAGGATTTTGGTATCATGAAGGAACATATGAAAAGAATTGCAGCATTACTTTCAGCAAAAAATGCTTCTAAAGCAATCTGACTGGTAAATTGGATCTAGTTTGAAAGAAAATCAGAATCAATCAGAATCTCTACTTTAATAAGACTGAACAAAAATCAAACAACCACTTACAGCAGTCACATGCTATGTAAGTTTTAGTTCATAGAATTTCTTTCCCCAAAAGTATAAAAGACTCCTTCAAAGAGCTAATGTATAACAATGATTTAATAGTGCAATGGGCAGGCAAATCTATTCCTAGATTGCACATTTGAGCCCTCTATCTGGTTGAAATTTTAATTTAAAGTACACAGTGAAGTCTGTGTTGAGATCTACACAACTAAAAATGCTCTACAGTGTAAGATATTGCTATCTGTTTCTGACAGGCAGAGGAAAATTCTCGCTGATGTCATCACATCCAGGGATCCTGCCATTATTTCTCAAGTCATTATCTATTTACAGCTGTGTGACAGTACCAGCAGACTGATGGTTCCGGTTGCGTTCTTCAGCAGGTCTTCAGCGTGCTCAGGAGTAATTCCCTCTGTGGACACATCATTGATGCTGATGATCCTGTCTCCTGTCTGGGTAACAAACACACACAATCACAACCACACATACATTTATCTTACGGTAAGTTACCTTTGGAATGTAAATTAAAATGGGAAACGAATCAATTGAAAATGATTTATCTATACAGTTCAATAAGTGGGGATGGATGGATGGATGGATGGATGGATGGATGGATGGATGGATGGATGGATGGATGGATGGATGGATGGATGGATGGAGGTATTTTTAGAAATGTAGATACTTGTTGTCTAGACCAGTGATTCCCAACAGTGGGTATGTGAACCCCTAGTGGTTCACAAGTGCATTGCAAGGGGTACATGAAAATATTTTAATTCGCAGGTAATAAAATTAAATAAGGCTGGGATAATTTTTATTTTTTGAGAACCCAAGTAAAGCTTTTTTTCAATCAAAAAGCAAGTTGTTCTTATATCTTTGAGTTCAACTTCTGCTTTGACACACATCAAAACCAAGCAGAGGAACAGACTGGATGTACAGAACAGCCTGGTATCTTCTGTTTTCCCACACCTGATCAAAGCAAGCTCAGGTGTCATGAATGGTGAAAACAATATAAAATAAATGGAGTCAGTCTGACTATAATTTTTGTTCAGTATTTTGTTCCCAATTCCTCAGGTTTAAACGTGATTACAGGGGAGTTACTGAGAGGAGCTCCAGGTTGATAAAGGCAGAGGTATAGTGTGATTTTATTTTGTACTCTCTGGGCAAAATTTGTTTTTATTTGAGTAGGAAAGAATAATATGCCAAATAATAAATTCTCAATTTAAACAAATTAAATGAAATACTTATTAGTTATTCTACGTTCTACTTCTGTGCAGCCTTTATCACTTTTGACTGACGGGATACTCATGGTAAGACAAAATCCCCAAAGGAGCACAGAAGTAAAAAAAAAAAAAAAAAAAAAAAAAAAAAAAGGTTGGGAAACACTGGTCTAGACAANACAAATTAAATGAAATACTTATTAGTTATTCTACGTTCTACTTCTGTGCAGCCTTTATCACTTTTGACTGACGGGATACTCATGGTAAGACAAAAGCTTCAAATGACTCTGCCTTTGTAAAAAAAAAAAAAAAAAAAAAAAAAAGAAAAAAAAAAGGTTGGGAAACACTGGTCTAGACAATAGAAAAAGGAGTAAGCTCTTGAAACCTGAAAACTTCTCATTGTTCTTTTTCTTTTTAAATTTAAGTAATCTAAGCAATCTAATTTTCTTTCACAAGTTTTCTTTTTTAAACTTCTGTCTTTACAAAGGAATGTTAAATACTTTTGGAACAACTAACAGCATCTCGATATACACCAGATCCCTTAACAAGTTACTTAGACGGCATGTAATGAGTGAAACCTAAATATACACACTGACAGCTCACCTCTAATTTCTCTGTTTTAGCAGCCAGCCCATTGGTATCCATAGAAGCAATAAAAAGAGGTGTGTTGCCATGGAGACTGCCCACTCCTCCAGCTAAGCTGATACCAAGGGTGTCACATGGACCCTGTGGTGATATCAAACATACAGGCAAGACTTTGTTGTTTAATGTATGAGTAAACTCACAGTCTAGTGAGATAAGTAGGTCATTCAAAGTTGGAGCTTTGCAAACAAATAGTAAAAAAAATATGTTTTATGACACAATGTCAAATGCATTCATTTATTAACTTAAAACCTCTTACCTTCTCTATTGTTACTTTTCTGAGTTCAGTTTCTTGAAGCATTTAAGAGAACAAGATAAAAAGGAAACCGTTTAGAGAATAATGTTTTAATGAATAATTTTTAAATGAGAGCTGAAAAGAAAATGTTAGACTTGAATAAACAGTAATGCTTACTGCAGCTCCCTGTTCTGCTAACTGTCTCCCTCTGGTGGCCAAAAGATGGATCACATTTGCTAGGTACAGTTGAGCATTCAGAGGCCTCGCTCTGGATAAAACACAACTGAAAATATTCCTAGGTTCACAAAATAATATTATTTAAATACTGTTCACATTTGATAGTAAGCACATGCTACAGAAATAATCATTAAGAAAAGAAAGTCAGGATTACAATAAAATCAGGTCAGTGCAGCATCTGAAAACCTCATGCATTTTTGCATTTTCAAAGATAAGATTCAAAAGATAATTCAATTCACAATATATGTTGCATGAATCAATGATTCAAGATCATATAACCAAGAAACTATGTAAGAGAAAATACAAAATATTAAAAAGGAAAAGTTAGAAAACCAGAAAGAAATACTTTTATTGATCTATAGTTTATAAAATGTTCCTTTTTGACATTTTGTTGGTGGTATATCATTATGATCAATAAGCCATAACGTTTATTCATATATGTTCTCAATAAGGTTTGGTCCTCCACACTAGTCAAGTAAATCAAAAAATACAAATACTTTACCTTACTCCTCTGGGAGTACTGCAGCCCAGCTTTAAAACGAGCAACTTCCAAATGGACTTCTTCATTGCACTCCTAAGTTTGACAAAGACAAAAACACAAAAAAAATGTAACAAAAAACAAAAAAAAACCCAGCTAATTTATTCTTGTGATATCAAGCAAAGGTGAAGGAGTGATACCTGCAGGAGCTTCTGTGCATGCTCCTGGGATGCTGCGCGGACATCCTCCCCATCGATTGACAGAATCTGATCACCGAGCAGCAAACTGCCATCTGATTCTGCAACGCCTCCTCTGATGATTTCTGACACAAAGATGCCCGTGTCATCGCTGTTGGAAGGAATAAGAGGTCAAAGAGGTCTATAGATTCCATCTCAATGTAGGACCCATGATGCTGCTGTTTTCTATATTATTAAAGTTGGTTATGAAAGATAACAGCATCCCTAAACTTTTTTTTAGAACAGCGAGTCCTTTAGCATTTTATTGTTTTCCAAATTCCACCCCCAAACAAAATGAGTATTAAAGAAGTAAGAACTTCATAAATATATCCCTCAGTTTGGGTTATTTTCTAACATGTATTGAAAAAAGTTATTCTTTTTAATAATTAATTATACTGAGGATTTATTACAAAGGAGCAGGGCTGTAATGAGCTCAATGTATTACTTTATATCACATTCAAAAGAACAAAAAGAGTCAAAATGAAATGTTTTGGTTTAAGAATTTTTTGTTTTGTTTTACCAAACTGGATGAACTTTTACAGAAAAGTCTTTAGATCACAGAGAGTAATACAGAAGCAGGTTTGACTGGTTTGTTACTGTGGTTTTAATGCGTATCTAAACAAATGCTGCTGGTAAATAAATAAAGATAAATAGTTTGACTATCAAAACAGTTTAAGAACTACTCTTGAAAGTGTTAGGCTTTATGTAAAAGCAGAACCCCGCCCCCACAGAAAAAAATGAAGGAGAGATTTTTATATTTTTATTTTTATCTATTAAACACATGAGAAATCACATGTTTAATTTCAGATTAATGCTAAAAAATATATATTTTTGACCCAATTGCAACATTTCTGGCATTAAATTAAAGAATTTGAATGGTATAGAAATAAGAGCGTTAAAGCTGCCAAACTGGAGAAAACATCCTGCCTAATAACAACAGAGATTTATTAAGATCCCTAAGATTGGGAAAAACTAAAGTTGTTAAACTTTTGTTGCCCTTTTCACAATTTTCTATCACAAAAACCTGTTTTAGATCTAGACTGATCTCATCAAATATCAATAACTTTGATGTGAATTTAGTTACCAGCTGTATTAAAGACCTTTAACCCTTATTAGCATATTTTAAGAACCATTGTTTTATAACAGAAAAATCCTAAATCGGATAATGCATTTTTTAAAACAAAGAGGCACACGGAACATGCTCCTTAAAAAAAAAAAAAAGAAATCACAAACATTTCTTTTAACCACTGACCATTTTGAACCAATATCAAAACAGCTTTAGTGAAACTGTGCTGCAAAGTCTGATGTTTTAAAATGCCGGGTAATAATTTGCTTTGAGTGTCCCTCACAGGAAAGAGATAGAAAAAAACCTGCTTTATTGAATATTTGATTAACCTTCACTTTGACCCTCTGACAGAATATTGGCAAGTGTTCCTCTTCTCTGCAATATTAACAAACTCTCTTTCTAACTTTATTTTTTGTGTATTTTCTGCACTTCATTGCCAAATCAAAGTCACCTTGCGGCAACTCTTGCATCCAGGACACTGCAAAACATTTTCGATTTCTAAAGAAAAAAACCATCACAAATAAAACAACTCTTTTACTTAAGACATGTTAACAGGGAAAAGGTACATCTTGTTTTTCTTTTGTTTTTCTTTTTGACATGATAACACAAATGCTGCATTGAATTCTCAATGAATTGAGAATGATTTATTCGATATAGTGGATGCTAATAATATGATTACCAATGTTAGATCATGCACTATAAATACCCTACACTTTTTTCAGTATTCTTTTTTGTCAATCACATTGTTTGGAGGCATTGGGCCTCATTCAAGAAGCGTTAGTAAGAACAAATTAATTCTTAGATAATTTGTACATGTGACTGAGGAGAAAATTTCACGTTCACAATTTTTATCCTATTTCTGATCTTCCCTCAGGTACAAACACATTTAACAAGAGCTACAGTCTTAATGAATGAGTCTTGCACAATTAGTCAGCTGTTATCCAAACCTATCATGGTCTTGAGGACTAGCTTAATGGTTCATACCATTCACCTGTCTAGCTCCGCCCAGTTTCTCATCACCGTTCATCTGTGCCACCTGCTCTAGTCTCTATTTAAACTGCTTGCTGTGCCAGATTAGTGCCAGATTATTCAAGCCTTTCATGACAGTTCTGTAACGTACCATTTTGTTGTTCTGATTGCCTGACCCCGACCCATTTTGTCTTCAGACCTCAGGGCCTGGCTGTTCCTGGTTCGGATTTGTTTGTCTGATCTGTCTTCGAACTCCTGCTGGACTCCTGTGGCTTTGAATTCAGGCTCCTCTGTTCTGAGTTTTTCACTAAATGACCACGTTTGTTTTTACTTAGAAGCAATTGTCTGTTTTATTAGTCTACAATATATATTATTTCACTATCCAATATAAATTACAATTTTATTTGCTGATGACAAAACTATCCGTCTCTACACCAGCAGCTGGCAAGTCAGTATCCAGGAAACAATGGTTCCCTTCATTGTCATATTGTCGAAAGAAAGAACAGTCAGTGAGCTTTATGTTAGATCAAGCTACTATTGAAATAACATCTGGAACAGAGAACAGATGTAAAGGTCAGAATCGGCGTGGGTGTGATCCTCCAAAAAAACCTTGCGTGAACAGTCAGTTCAGTTTCACATACACTCTGCATCGAGCAGCAGTAATATCTTAAACAAAATATTAATTCATATAATTTTTTATTCACAGCTAGCCATGGCCCAGGTACATCCAAGTGACCAAATTCCTCATAGAAAATAGCGCTTTAAATTGCTGAAACCTAAAACTGGAGCAAATCTATCTCCAAGCCAACTATAGCCTATCAAACTTATTGTGCTTTGTCAACATCTAGTGGTCCGAAGTACACTTTAATCTATATAAGTGTAGTCATAGGTGACTCCAAATGGCTTAGTAAAATCAAACATTAGTCAAAACAAACAATTTCCACCTTCATTTCCTACCTTTTCCCCACGGTGGTGAATCCTAGGCCTTCTCCAGGACAGGGAGTAAGAACTAGATTGAAGACGTCCCATAGGTCCTCCTCCCGGTAGGCCTCCTGGTGCCTAAAGACACTTAGCCGAACTCGCTGGGTGGTGAGCCGCAGCACTGCAATCGCCTCGTCATGTGTGGCCTGTCGCAGGTCTATGTCATTTACCTGAAGGGTTAAAAATATCAGGGTTTTTTTCACATGTATTTCAACCAATAATGTGTTTTGTTTTTGTTTTTCCAAATTTTGGGCAACAGACACTTTTAAATTGTAATAATTGGTGGTAATCTAAAGTAGGCTGCTAATAAAAAAAAAAAAATCTGTAGTGTTTCATATGCTTGTAACTCACTGTTACAATATATTTGAGGAACCATTTTTGCTACAATTACATCAGATTTTTTAGAAAATATGTAAATCACATTAGTATTAAATTGAAAGCACCAGTGCTTATCCATTTTTAAGCAATGCTGGGCATTTTTGATTGTAAGACAGCCTGGACATTGACTAAACCAGCACATCAATATGCTTTGATCTAAGCCTTTCACATAATTTCCCTGTCACTGTTGGATGTGTGCACCCCAAACAGCATGATACCACAAAAGCACCACATTTCAACAAGGGAAAGCTGTCTTAGAGAGAGATGTGGGGGGATTAATTCATCATCACACAGTTTTTTTTTTATGTAGACCAACAAAGTTCAAGCTTAACTCAATGTTTTACAATTTAACCATACATGAACTGTGATGTTGGTTTATGTTCTATAAAACCTATCAGGCTTTCATCTAAGTAAGATTGAATTACCTGAAGTAATTAAACATCAAATCAAAATGCAATATCTATTCTCGGATTTAGTGAACTCTTGGATCCTCTGGTTTATTAAATGTTCTCACAACAGAGGGGCTGAATTCATTTCCATGCCACACTTTTTAGACATTTTTTGTCAACAATTTGGGACACAGTGTGATTTTCCTTTCATTTAAATGTTGTATACTAATCTATGTTGGTCTGTTGTATTAATGATAGCACTGCTGTAACAGAAGAGCTGTGAGTATTCAGTGTGTGTTTGTATGCATGGACCTCTCATACCTCTAATATTTGGTCTCCAGCCTGGAGCCGTCCATCTCTTTGCGCTGCTCCACCATCATTCACTTCATGGATTATTACTGCCCCCTGGTGTAAAAAAACAACAACCCAACATCTCTCATTATTACAGACAGCAAAGAAATATGTGCACAATCAGAGCCTAATTTGCTGCTGCAAGGCTTTATTATTTTCTCTAATCAAGGATGAATATAAATATGATTACACAATCCTTTCTACCAAAATGTTTGACATAATTATAAAACTTCTGCATTTCTCACCAGGAGGGTGTCGCATCCTCCTACAATGCTGAGGCCCAGGCCTAAATTTCCTTTACAAATTTCTATGGTGGTTAACCGTCCAGCTACAACTGGGCAGCTCTGGGGGTCAGAGGTTGAAGGAGTTGAGCCTGACCAATAAGAGCCCTCTGCTGGAGAGGTCTGAGTTCTAACCAGAGGTGTAGACGAACACGCAGAGACCTGAAGAGGTTCAGATGAAGGAGCAGGATGGTGGGGGGGTTGGGGAAGTGATGAAAGGAGCGGTGGGGGAGAGGAGAAAGGAGCCTTGGAACGGCTGATGGAGAGCTTGACAGTGACCTGGTGTTTGAGAATCAAACTGGACACCTGAAGACAAAGAGGACATAAGAGTCATGAATCATTAAATCAGCTTGACCTTGCAGATAGCCTATGGTGCAGAATTTGTATTAGAGTGTGTTTTTCTGAACCTTTTCCACTGAGAGTCCAGCTACAGGTTCATCACCCACTGCTAGGACTCTGTCTCCAACTTGAATCCTGCCATCCTACAAACAACAGTGCAGAGAAAATGTAAGACAGAGAGAATGTAAGTAAGAATGAGACATTAAAGAAATTAAAACCCTGCAGACAAGTATCTGCATAATTGCTAGGGGCAATGACGTGTCATTATTTTACTGCGTGAAGCATTAGATTTTCATTTTAAAAGAAATATTTCCTCAAACACAACAACAATGAAATAAAAAAAAAATCTGATTACTAAATGTATTGCTTTTTATTAGCAAATTTCAATTTTGATGAATGAGGTATTGCCGGTCGAATTAAAAAAGCCTGATGAATTATAAAACCTGATGAAATAACGTGCAACTGAAACATTTTTGGAACCTCCTCAAGAAATGAACACAATGCTGATAAAATATCTAAATATAAAAAAGTATTTTTTAGATTTTCTTTCCAAACCTTAGACATATTTAACACAATTTTAGTGACATTATCAGGAAAGAATGCAGTATTTTCAAAAATAATTTCTACTTTTTTGCCGCCTTTGCTTTTTGTTACATCCGAATATCCACATAAATGCATTTTAATGATATATATGACAGAACAAGTATATATTTGTAAAAAAGAAAAGAAAATCAAAATTTTTTTACAAAGCTTTTTATGGATATACTTTTCAAACTGTGACATGCATTCTTATTTTTCATCTCTAAGTCAACATTTCATGCAATTTCATCCTGAAAGTAACTTTATTTACCTCACGTTCATGCACATCTGAGACACATAGTACCTTTATAAGATAGTAAAGCAACCTAAAATAATTCTTAACAATATTTGCAATTTGTTTTTTGTTCTCAATCCTCCATATGTCAGTTTGAACCTAATCCCCCGGTTTGCCTCAGTCTGATCAGTGAGTGAAGGTTTCTTTCATCTCTGTGAGCTGACAGTAAACAGCCACAGACAGAAAGGGAGTCTAATCTAAATCTGATTTTGAAGGGAATAACATTAATTCTAAGATAGGTAATTTGAAATTAAAATAGAAAAAAAGTTCACGCAATTCGACCTTGTTTTTACAGCACATTAAAGGGAACAGCCTTCTTTTACCAAAGTAAAATATGTTGCCTTCTGGTGCATTAGAGCTCTGCTCAGAAACTCCCCGTCAAATTCAGGTTGCATGTTGTATTTTAAATCCTTTGCCGTTATAAGTAAAGCTCTTTCTGACAAATATCCAGCAGAGTGTTTCACTCTCAGTCAGCAGGGTTATTTCTGAATCCTGGAGTGACTGAGTAGAATGGGAAGTAGAGCCTTCAGCTATCAGGCTGCTTTCCTTTAAACCAAGCTGCTTATTCTGGAGATACGGCTGGCTTTGAAAACCATCGCACATCGGATTTTTAGAAGGTAATTATACTTATATGCTCTGCATTTAGCTTTTTAATATTAATAGCTATAAATATTTTCTTTTTGCTTTTACAAAGCGACATTTAATACCCCTGAATTATAGGCACAGGTCAAAAATAGGTGAAGTTAAACTTTAGAGTGTTTTTTTGGAATAAATTGACACAAATAAGTGTTGCTACCTAAATTAGTATATTTGATCTATTCATTAAAAATCCTTTTACTTATTTGGTGACAGTAAGTTACATGAAGCCGCACCTTAATGGCAGTGCCGTGCTGCATTAGTGAGCTGACAACCACTCCTCCTTTGGAGTAGTCCTCACTGAGGCAAAGGCCCAGACCTACATGATCCTGGAGAGATAATAACAATGTTTAAAGCTGAGAAATTTGAAGGCCAGCAATGGTAGTGATTGTAATGTACCTGAGGTAGAAAGATATGCTCAATTCCAGGCGATTCAACCTCTGCAGCGTCTGTCTTGGAGTCCACGGTGTCTTCACTCTCTTTTTTGATTATCTTTGGCATTTGATCTGCTTTATTTCTGCCAAATTGAGACACATTTTTTTAAAAACAGAAATGGATTAAAACACATGAGATTTATGCTTTTATCAATTAAAGCCGGCCTGTAGATGCACATAAGTTTTTACCGGATGAGTATGATCTTCACTTTAGAGGGGGCGTTGTTGATGATCGTTGAGGCATTTTGGTGACTTCTACCATACAAGATTTTACCATTGATCTAAAGAAAAAAATATGTTTACTAGGAGGTTTTCATGCCCCCATCAACCTTTCCAACATTTGAACAAAGTAAGGAAACTGCAGTATATTAAATATTGAAATAAACTATAATCTTTACATTACAAATATGACTCCTTTAAACTGTTTGTCAAATTGTGTGAGAGAATTCAATATTGCTATCAATACTTTCGTTGGAAAGTAACTCTATAGATGGAGTCATTAATTAAATTAGTTTCTGCCACAAGCCCCTGTTTCACCAGCGACTTTGGGAATCACTAAACCCGCAATTGCATAACGCATTTATGTTAATCATAAAAACGATTCATGAAGACGAAGCACTGGTTTTCTTCCACAGGTTACTGTTTTATGAAAAAAGAACACCATAATTTTGGAAGCTAATTAAAAGCAAAATTGTCTCTAAAAACACATTTGTGGTTCTTTTAATGAATATTCTGTGACAATTAAATTCAAATACTCTTTTTGAAAACACCAGAGCTTCAAAGGCTGGTATTTGTTATTGTAGAACATTAGTTAGTTCTTTACATAATAAAAGAGCCATTGTAGAGGCTTCAGCTTAAGCTTTAACAGCATCAATTGATGAAGCAGTTTCTAACAAGCAATTATACCCCTTCAACTTTTTATTCTTTTATTTTGAGTCGTTTCATCACCACAAACATCAGTATAGCCTATTGGGATATTTTGTGGCAGACCACTTTCCGCAGTAGCATTATTGAAGTGTTGTACTAATTGGAATGAAAATATAGCATGGTTTTCCAAATTTTATCTGAATAAAAATCCAAAATCTTTGTTTTTATTTAAATTCTTTCTTCTTTAACACAAAAAGCTTTAAATAAGAGATTGCATCTGAAGGACATGTAAGTGAACCTTTTGGTACGAATCCAAAACATTGAGG